TCCGCTGATTGAGGAACATTGAATAGCCTCGCAATACGATCCCACACGCATGTAGTCAGTAGCTTCCTGTTCGGACTGAATTGCAAGGGCGTCGACCACGAGTGTCTTGAAGGATCCATCCGCATCTCTCAAGGACGCCAAAACTCTTATAGGATCAAAGAGCGGAGATTGTGAACGTTTTCGCCCTGCAGGTAACGTTTGGTGTTGGGTTAGTCTCGCAATCATGAATTCGGTATGTCTAACATTGGCAACGGCTTGTTCTTGACGTCGATATTCTTCAATGTGAGTTGTATCTTCCTGGTTCGGCCGAAGAAATGTGGCAGAAAATATTGCGTTTCCATTCGCAGGCCACGGTCGATAGGACTGCGGATATCCCTGTGCTTTGATCCCCTAAGATAGGAAGATGTTTGTCGGCAAAGCCTGGTTCAGGTGTTATTGAGAGATCAGACACGGATCAATCGGCATTCAGCTTTATTCGTGCCTACCTTGTCGGCCCGGTTTGCCATGTGCCAAGCAGTGCTGCGCCGAGTCTGCTCCTCCTGGAATACTGCCTCCTAGATAACGTAGAATGGTTAGAAGACGACCCTTCTGGCTTTTATAATAGACGCGCGGCGTACATCTAATTGGACGAATCTTTCATGATTTTCTCGCTCGCCACTATGAGACAATGTTCGCCACTGTCATTGTTTTTAATTGGATTGAGGACTTTGTGATGACGCAGAGGACGAAAATCTTCTCAGGAGAAAACCAGACTTGGAGGTCGGCCTGCTGGGAGCTGGGAAGGCGGCTTCGAGGTACTGCAATTTACTGAAAGGAATATTAGCTAATTTAATGCGTATCTGATTGAGAAGAGGGGTTTACTTTACGTATTTGGCCAACTTTTCGAGCAAAGATAATGACTTGACGCTGATTTTTCTACTTGAATCGATACCGAGTCCCGAGGGAATCCACTGCCTAAATTCGCGCTCTTTTACACGTGGTATGGAAGCTATTTTCTGGTTCTTGTCTGCCCTGGGTCGTCTGGACTAGGGTTGCGCCCGTTGAGTTCGGTGACTTCCTCAGCAGTTTCCAAATAGATACTCACAAGATTCCTAGCGGCATCTCTGATATCGTGCTGAGACGCTCTGAGTGCTGCGATCACATCGTTTGATTCTCCTTCATCGGCTGCGAAATAAATACCGAGTGTTGGTTCCGCAGGACAGGAGCCAGGCGTCTGGATGATGGAACTGGCGAGTGGCAAAAGAGAAATAATCAAATTCATTCTCATCCAGCCGGATTTGATGATCGCGAAAGCCGAAACCGATAAGATAGACTGACGGGTATGCGGACAAGCTGGTGGTTGCGACTACTCGCTCGACGCCAGCCATATGCAGCGACACCGGACATCAAATGGGCTATATTCGCGTAGGAAGCGGTCTACTGCTGCTAGACGTGGAGAAGAGGGGAGAGATTCGCTTCTCGCCGAGTCGACGGAATGTAGATGTGCATGAAATTTCGAGAGACAGCGAGCATCCTGTTTGGGTAGCGGATGGGAATGTATATTAGCCAGCAGACTGCACTAGGTCATACAAAGCAGCTGTGTTCTATCCACGCGCGTAAGAGTTGGCGCGGTCAGCATTACACGACCTGCGAAGCCAAATGGAGCACTCTATCCATTTATTTCTTCAAAGAGATGGTGCAGAAAATAGAGAAAAGAAAGGGTCGAGACAAGGCTGATGAGGAGAATAGACCAAGAATGTGGCCAGAACCAAGAACGGACAAGCGTTTTGTGACCTCCTTCTGATCGCTTCCGTGAGTTCATTCATGTCCATTAACTCCTGCGCGACTAAAAGGCCTAACAGCGCAACAAGTCGACAAACTGACAAGCCGACAAACGACAAACTGACAAGCCAACAAACGACAAACTGACAAGCCAACAAACGACAAACTGACAAGCCGAGGACAGCACAACGACTATCCTAAAAGAATGTAATTCGAACGTTACTATCAATGGATATATAAACCTGCCCACATGAACTTGAAGACAATGAAAGGAAATGGGTGAGTAGTGTCTCTCATAGCTGAACGTCGGTCGACTCACATCAGAGAACTCTGAAGCCGAGAAGCCTCGCCTTGGCATCACTCTATCTGATAGCTCACAAAGACGGGAGAATCAAGGAGGAAAATCCAGAGGTTCAAATCGCCTAACACGGGAGCTGCGTGCTCTCACAGACTTGAGGCATTTCGAATCTAAAGAAGAACCTGTATCTCGAACGCGCCGTACTCGTCCTGGAAACTCTGCAAATGAATCTACTAAGCTCTCGATAGCATCGAACCCCTCTGATCCTATCAATTATCCCAGTGGTCGCCCGAATTCTCTCTCCGCATCCTGTATTTCCCTCCGGAATTCAAACACCATCAATCATCTATCCCCTACTGTTCCTCCCATAACTCGTGATGAACCCCCTCTGCCAAAACGACAAATAAATTACAGCCCAGATAATGATCCGGATGTCCCTAGAGTAGGTGCATTTGGCCGAAAGTTCATACTCTGATCACCTTTGCTTCGGTAGAAACGCCCAAGACTACTTGAGCCTCGAGGTATCCATGTAAGTTAACTACATATCTCCGGCATTTCCTGATCTCTTTTGCGGTCGATATAGAAAGAAACTATGGCCTTCACTCGCCCTGTGTGCCGTTTCGAGGATGCTGAGGATCCAAATGGAGGGGATCATTCGAT